GAGTTGGTTAGAAGAAGGAGAGGAATGAACTTATAAATTGTCATGTGATTCCATCCAAGAGTTTAAACTTCAAAATTTAACAAATGGATGAGAGAACCTACATTTAGGGTAAGTAGCTGAGAGGCAAAGTTTAGAAAAGAAAAGAAAATAAGTTGGAAACAACAGGCAAGATGGGCACCTATGGAGACCAGAAGACAGTGTCAGGTCCCCTAGAAGCTGGAACTATAAGCAGTTTTGAGCCACTCAACATGTCTGCCAGGAACCAAACTTGGGTTTTCCACAAGGGCAGCAAGAGCTCTTAGCTATACTGTGCCACCTCTCCAGTGCCTTAGAATTATACCACTTTAGAACAAAGTTAAGAAATTTTGAATTCTAGCTGCTTGATTGGAATGAAAATAATTTTAAGGTACTTAAGGTTAGATAAGAGAAAGGGGTAACCCCCACAGTGCTGTTGACATAGACTCAACATTCCTTGGTAAAGCATTACCTAAATTCACATATTTTCTCTTCTTTCATTGTAGTCTGGTTATTTGTCTAATTTATCTACCTACCATTGAAGTTATTTAAATGACACCTAATGGTATTCATTGATTTCTCATTTCTTCCCTTAGAGATAAGTTATCTCCTGTGATATTTCAGATTCTTAGCTTACATTACCTTCATTAGACTTTTTTTTTTTTTAGAAACACAGTCTTTTATTTTTTATGAATATAATTAGACCAGAGAAGTGTCAAATAGAAACAGTCCAAGGACAAAAATCCTATTACCTGTCAGTGCAGCGTGTAGAACATGACTTCTAATTCATGTTCTCGAAAACATAAAACATGAGATAGGAATCTAGGAATCTTGACACCAAACATTTTGCCATGCATGAGGTTAGTTGTGGCTAATTACTTTGTTAGAAACGTCATCCTCTCTTCAGTCTGGCAGTGGCTACATCATGACATCAAGAAAGTGAAAACATGGAGCTGGGAGACTGCCCGGTGGGTAAAAGCACTTGCTATGTAAGCACGAGGACCTGAGTTCAGATTCTCAGCACCTACTAAAAATCTACGATGTGCACCTGGTCACATGTAAGCCTACATACCACATGCTGTTGGGGACAGAAGACAGGAGGACTGATGGGATGTGCTGCCTGACTGGTACCTTTGCCCCAGGTTCAGTGAGAGTCCCTGTCTCAGGAAGCAAGGTAGAGAGTGATAGGACAAGACAAAACTCTGTCTTCTGTGTGCATGCACACCCATACCTCATCCCTCCCCACCTTACATACATACACACACAGGAAGTGGAGAGTGGAATTTGTCATATCTATCGCACAGTAGTAAATGAACTTGTCATATTATAAAATTAGCTGTGATGGCATGTAACTGTTTTTTTTTAAACTGAGTGAGCAGATGGAATAGATAGCATCAGATAGCAGTGTGGCATCGGGCAACTACCTAAGAAGAGATATATGGGAAAACATACAGGCCCATCCAAGTTTGCTCAGCCCATTCTTATTACATCTTTGATGACCGTGTTTTAGGTTAGGTCTAGGTACAAGTTACAGAAAACCCAAAACTATTGGATTAATCAGAAAAGTTGGTCCATTTGTCCATGGTATAAAAACATAGGGATAGCTCAAAGCTAGATCAAAGGATGGGGTATCTGTGCTCTGTGAAGTCTTAGTAATTCAGGTTCCTTCAAGATCATTCTCTGTCTTCCTCGAGGTAATATTTTCCCTTTTTAATGCACCAAATGGCTTTTGCATGCCAGGAAACAAGGTAGAATAAAGGGCTAAAAGGAAAGACCCCAGAAGTTCCTTAATGATAGTTTTGCTTTAATAGCTTTGATCAGGACCTCACTGTATAGTTTACCAAAATTTAAGGAAGTTGAAGAAATGAGCTCTACTCGCTGGCTGAACATGGTTGGAATCAACTTTCTACAGATGAATGAAAGAGAGAATAAATACTGGGATAAAGTTTATAACCCACGTCTTCCTTGTCCATTGTTAATGGCACCACAGAATCAACAGATTAAATGTTAGAGATATGTGAACCCTGATGCTTATTGAAGGGAATTATACAGCTGAGATTAAGAATAAGGGCCAAAAGTCATGTGAATCCAGACTTTCACAGATGCAAAAGAAAGAGAGCGCTAATGTCTTTCTCTTAGTTAAATGGTTAAATGTGTTAAATAATTGATATACTTAATTTATTGAGCAGTGGTAACTAACACTTCAGGACCACTTGATAATGAATACAGTCAACTCTTATTATTAAAGCTATAGAGTGAAAAAAACATGAGTGTATAAGTACCAGCATCTTTGCTGTGCCTCTCTACAACTTGAGTGTTTAAGAGAACATCCAGAGTGATTTTCATTTCTAATTGTATTTTCCCTATTAAAAATAAGCTGAGATATGCATGTTTGATTGGGAATAAGGGAGAGTCTTAACAAATTGTCTGAATTTAACTTAACAAATGTCTTGGATTTTCCATGGTTTCGTTATGTTTCATTGGCACAGTTCTTTCTATAACCTCTTACCTGTACTGTTTTTGTAGGCTGTTACATATTCATATTGTTTTTGATTAGGAACATGTTTATACTAATAAATTTTCCTTCCTGTTATTGTGAGAAAATGGGAATCAGGCCATCCTTGGATGGATGGGGCTTGGGTGGGAACATGGAGTGCGTTTGCTATTTGCCTGTAAAATGATAGACAGCTCTGAATTGCAGAGCTAAAGTCAGTCAAATTGTAAAAGTCTGGCATGTTTCTCATTTAGAAGTGGTGACAAGAGAACAGTGGGTAAAAGCACAGCTTGATATTCCAAGTTGGATGTGACATTTTTCTTGTGATTACAAACAACAAAGTCATTGTATTGAGAGATTTTTGTGCCAACTCTTACATGCTCTTTTGCTTCTTTTTCTTTCCCTCTCTAAGCCCCTCCTCTGTTCTGTGGCTTTTCTTTTGTAACTCCTCCAGACTACAGCTTTGTCCCCCCTTCTTCCACTCCTTTCTGGTCAGGTACTGCTTACTGCTTTTATATGTCTCTATAACTTACTTTTGTGTGAAAATACAACATTTTGGCTTCTGTATATGGCTTCCCATGTAAATACGTCTCCTCAAACTCAATCCCTAGCATTCCATTACCACCATGCAGTTCACTCTTCCCTGCCATAAAGTCATTGTTTGCCATGACATTCCATGTCTCTCTGTGTGTGTTAATGCCATAAATTTCAACATGACATTTTATATTTTATCATGTGTCAGTGTGGAGAGGTTGGAGTTGAGTGAGGGAATGGGAAAGAGAGATGAACTGCTCTGAAAACTCATTCATCTTTTCTGAGGACTAGGAGTCATAGTCGAGAGAAAAATCAGTATCTGTGCATTTCCATGAAACAAATAAAAAGAACCCCAAAATCTCAACTTCCCTTCAAAGAGAAGAATATGATTCAGTATGCCCTTCTTGAAATGATGCCCCCGTGTCCACCAATTCTCCAGCTCTTCAGCTGGTGCCCAGGCATTTTGATCTGAATTTCCGCCATTACCTGGAGAGTTAAATGACTATGTGGCTCCAAGGCTAGATAAAGTACATCTTCTTGTGGTTTTTTTTTTTTTTTTTTTTTTTTTTTTTAAGAATTAACCTGTAAGTCCCAATAGAACATAGAATTCTGAAATAGACCTTAGAAGCCAGCTAGTATAAACCTTTCATTTTATAGATGAGAAAAATGTGGCCTAGAGAGCTTGAGAGAGGCCTGTGCAAGGTCACACAGTTAGGTCTACAATTGGGCTTCTCCATCACAGGGGTGTTTTTATGTGCCCTGACTTTAAGAACAGTGCCTTGGCAATGGGACCATTTTCAGTAAGGAAACCATTAAAGTGGTTTGTGTCCTGAATGGTAAAATAAAATGACCTATTTTTCCTCCCTTTACGGTTCTGAAATCTACACTATTGCCGTTCATTTATCTTATGATGGACACCTGGAGACTTTAAAAGGGGCTGTCATTGTAACACCATGAATGATAGGCCTGAGGCCCCTGTTGCCAAGTGGATGGACCTTTCCAGGGTAGCATGGGTCGTTATGAGCTACCTGAGCACTGGGAACTGTTATAATACAGATGGATGGCGCTTCCGTTTGTTGCTCTCTCTTACACTTAACTTCTTTGCCATTTAAGATTTATAAAGTCCCACTAGTCTCGGGTGAGCGATTCTCAGAATCACTGCACATATAATTGAAAACGCTTTATGACCCCGCAGAGCAACAGGTGAAAGTTACCACCAAGCCTGTAACGAAGCACTAGAGATCAACAAACAGGTGCAGCCTGAATGGAGTTTCCCTTCCAGACAGGGATGGCTCCTCTCCTGCCACCAGGGATATTTAGACAAAGAAAATGGAACACAAAGATGATACCTTTGTGCCTGGATTTTGGTTAGACATTGCAATAAACACTGACTGGATGAGGTTTGTGCATTCTTTCAATGAAAACCCTTTCACATCTTCACATATATAAAATTTTATGTGAAACAATAACTGAATTCATCCAAAGACGGTTTAATATAACATAAAAAGCTCGGCTGGGTTGGGGGGAGTGCCCCTTACTCAGAAGGGATGATGATGGTTTGACAGACGTTAATCAGAGCCAAGAATTCACTTGCTCTGAGTTTGGCCAAAGAAGTTACCAGCTTCACCCCAGAGTTGTCAGTTTAGGTTGAAGTTGTCTCGTTCACTGACATGACTCATTTAAGTTATTAGCTAGTTTGGCTTTGGTTTTACAAAAGCTTTTATGAAGAAGGTCGAAAGCATAACAGTGGTTGTTTTACTGTCAGGAATGAACTTGATCACACCTGATTGGATTGAAACAGCAACTGTGCCGCTTTCAAACTCACGCTGTCATTATCACAGATCTGTAACCAAGTCACGGGGCTCTGCATTTGGTAGCACCACTGGCAGCGGTCTCTTCTGATGGCTGGCTGCAACCAACGGCACACCGACTCAGACTCCGCATTGTTTCTTTACAGTGCTAAGTCCCAAAGTACTGGGCATTGCCATCGCTCGGTATGACTTCTGCGCAAGAGACATGCGGGAACTCTCCCTGTTGAAAGGGGACATGGTGAAGATTTACACAAAGATGAGTGCAAACGGCTGGTGGAGAGGAGAAGTAAATGGCAGGGTGAGCTTTTCCATATGAGCGTGTCTGCCCTTCACGGAGGAGAGGGCTGGACAGTCACTGGCAGCTGTCATGCTGTAGACCTGTCCCCCCAGCGGTCTGGGTGCTAGGGGCTGGGAGCATGTGTTGCTGTTTGAAGTAGGTTGGGTCAATACAAAAGGGACTGGCACATGGGGAAAGTTGAAGAGCATTTCAGGTTTTCTTCAGTGGCTAAGTGCCAGGGCATGCAGTTTATGGAAGCACCACGCATTTCCCAAAGCTCCTGATCCCACTCGGAAAGAATGGGATAGAGTGCCCCTGTTCTACAGAGAAACCTGTTTAAGCTCATTTCATTCCGTAGTTTCTATGACTGTCTCTATATGGCCTATCCCAGCTGTTAAGCCAACCTTCCTTGCCTACAGAGGGCAGAAAGTCCCAGCTTAGAGTGTTAGGAACATGAGGACTGCTCTGCCCGTAGAACCCTTTGAAGCAGCAGAGGGGTTAAAATGTCTGTTGCTTTTCTTTCCTAGGTGGGCTGGTTTCCATCCACATATGTGGAAGAGGATGAGTAAAACACAATCCAGTCTTGCACCGAAATTGCAGAGAAGAGAGAGACAGAAGCCTGCACCGCATTATGAGTTAACTGAAGTGTTTTAAAAGCAGCATTTCTGGCTGTTGAACATCCTCCTTTTTCTCCTCCTAAGTCTTAATGCTGGGATTTCTAAAGATGCTGGTACTGACAGATTAATGGCTTGCCTAGAGCAGTGCAAGAAACAGCCTGCCAGTCTGTCATTGTCAGGAACCAGGGCAAAACCAACCACTTTTCTTCCCCAAAGAGCCCTGCAAACACATCGGATCAGCTTTCTCTTTCTTCATTGGGTCAGACACCATGGATGCCAGCCATTAGGAAATGTTCCATCATATATACTTTGTTCTCACAGTTTTTGATGATACAAAGAAACAGAAGTTTAATTTTGCTTTTTCCCAGCATGAAGAAAAAGTAGAGTTCTGCCATCTGGGAAAGATCCAGCTTGCTGGAAAGACCTAGCATTTCTCGTCTTAAATTGTTCAACAGGTGACTCATTGCCTGGCAAACACTTTTATCCCCAGATGTTACTCATGATAAAATAAAAGAGGCTCATGCTCAGGTTTGCATCATAAGTGATAAATTACAGAGAGGGTTTTAATTATTCATTTGATGTCCTGATTATATTTCCACACTTCTTTATAAAGAAGAAAAAGAAAAGCACATGAAAGGAAGTGTCTTTGTATTAAAGCCTCACAACTTTCATGATTTCATAGGGTGTTTTGGAAATGTCATGCTTGACAAGAGAATTACGGCCAGGCAGACCATGTTTAGTTGCCAGGAATCCCAGAGAGGTAGAGGTGTTTGCAGAGACAGATGAAGGGCTGTAACGCATAAGACGTCATTATATAGCTGTCATAGCTATTAACACAAATTTTTCCTTACCCCTGGAAAGACCCAGGGAATATTTGCTGATTTCCACTTTTTTTTTTTTTTTTAATAGTAGCACAAAAGAGCTTTTTCGAGGATTTGGGAAGACAAGCACACTTAGCCCTCACTACCTTTCTGGGACAGAAGGAAAAACATCTGACTTCTGTGTTCTCTAGGCTCCTCTATTTTTCCTCCTGAAGCCGTTTTAGCTGTGTCTTATTCTGTCGGAAGATCCATTCTGCGGTGTTTCTTTCACCAAGCCTCCACTGTGTTCTGTGAGGAGTCTAAGTATCTTCCTCCTGGGATGTATGGAGTCCCTACTTGAGGCAGTCAGGTTAAGATACTAACCTGGCTCTTCCATGGTGGACTCTTTTTTTCATAGCAGTAGCTGTGTTATGACAAAATTCAAAAAAATATTCGTGCTTGGGCAAAAGAAAAAAGTATTTTTATCTTAGAAATGACCTAGAATTTTTTGGTCACCTCTGACATGAAGGGGCTGTGACAGCTTGTTCTCTCTCAGCTCACAGGAGTGCCAGAATTTGTTTGGTGGACACATCTCCCTCAAGGAGACCCAACGCGTGGGGGCGAGGACTTCTCCTTTAAATAGACTCGAGACCTTTACCTCAGAATTATGTAAACTGTGATTGTGTTTCAGAACCATTGAGCTTTTGTATATGTGTATGTGGTCATGAAAATGTATTTTGTAAAATGTTTGTACAGTCAGCTTGTGCTGGCAAGCTCTGCTCTTGGGATGGATTCCTACCTGTACGGTCTTATCTGTGTCTTAGGGATGTTTTGTCTGTTACTGTCAGCAAGGGTTGCTCTGGAGAGTACAGCTTCCCACAGATTGAAACACTCCTGTGTACAGTATTGTAGCATGTATTGTTCATTTTGGTCAATAGACTCCCTGCCTCACAAGTGGTATGTGGTCTTCCTGTTGCATTTCATTGGCCTCAGAGTTTCATAGCAGAGGACATAAAGAGCCTCTTTTCATGACATTACCAATGAGAACTTTGTCTACATTTAATACTTTGTATTGAAGATTTTAAATGTCACGATCTGTGTAGATTTCTAATACCAAAGACAGACGTAAGTGTTTTCCATGGACTTTGTCATGCCTGTCTGTAGCCCCCATGTAATATGGTGAGTTAGAATGGTGGTTTACTTTGTAATATTTGTAAATATGTCAATAAAATAGTTACTACTTGCATTAAGAGGATGTCTCTCTTTTTATTTATTTTTTTGTGTTTGTATGTATGTATGTATGTATGTATGTATGTATGTATGTATGTGCACTTGTGTGGTGTTAAGGATGGACCCCGAGGTCTTCTGCAGTCTGTGAAAATAGTCTCTGATTTCTTGGGGGGTTGAAGGTTCTTTTCTTTGAATGGTCTTGTACCACATACACAACCTTGTTATTTCAAGACGTGCTAACCCTGATTTTCATTGGGGTTAGCTCAAAATTGTTATCAAAGTCATCTTATACAGGGAACTTCTAAGATAAACTTTGTATTTGCCAGTAGCATCTATTCCATATGTTGGTATTCTGAAGCCTTTGTGTGCAGTAAAAACTGCCTCATTATCCCGAATCATCTCTATTTCAGATGAGGAAACTGAGGTACCTTATCAGGTTACAACATTCCAGCTGGTAAGCATGTGACAAGACATGGGCCATTTGGCTATTGTCAGTAAAATGACTGCCCCATCCTTCCACACTTTATAAAGAAAAAAAAATAGGAGTGTCATTGCCAAGAAAAAGCTATTTGATACTAAGCAGTGATCTAGATGGTTGAAAATGTGTAGAGAATTCAGAATTAGTCTGCTCCTTCTAGTCCCTAGAACTCCATCTTATCCAGACAGAGCCAAGTTTGGTCATCATCATCACTGTCATTATCAAGTAGACATTTGGGTAGTTACTGTGTTAACTTTTTAATTCCTTAAACATAATTCAGGTTTACTCATTAGATTGAAGTAGAAAGTTTGTAGGTTCCAAGTGAATCACTCTGGGAAGAGAATTGAATCAGCTGGTGTTCCAAGAAGACAGTTTCTATTTCACTTACATCTGTGTTCAAGTTCTAGCTGTGCCACTGACTCTCCAGAGTACATGTTTCTTCATTTATGATAAATATCAATTTATATGACACCTGAAGAAGAAACAGAATCTGGAAATTTTCTATTTGTATGAACCCTGCTGCATAGTAGGTATTCAAAAAATTTTGTTCTCTCTTTTGCTTCATGAACCACAAAACATGTACACAGATGCCAAATTATGAGCTTGCTGTCTTTGTTCTGAGGACAATGGAGAGTGAAGGCTTTGTTTCTTACCCATGGCTTAATTTTCAGCATTCAAATGATAGGCAGACTAAAAGATATATGTTCAGGGAGATTAATATGCAAAACCACAAACAAGCTCAGAAGTGCAATTTAACAGCTCCACATGATTTTAACTAAGAAAACAGAATATTCAGTCAGCTCAGACTCATTTAAACTCAATCCATGAGGCACTGCAGGTTACACGGAAGCTAGCTTTTGTGGGATTGCTTGAACTGTGATGAAGATGTGACACACCTGTCTAGTCTGGCCGGCTCTGGAAGGTGGTGCTTCTAAGTAACAAACAAACAACAAAATGGAGGTCACAAGGAATCCTCTCTCTCGTTAGGTGCCATTGACTAGAAGAGGTTTGGGAGAGGGGATGGGGTTGACAAAAACAAAAAACAGAACAAAACAAACAAACAAAAACGAAGTTCCTTTGAAGCACTCCAGATTCTGACTTAGTCAGAAAGTTCCAGAATTTTTAAGCACAGTATGACTGCAATTAATTTTGCCGGTGCTTGGCCAGATGGCAAGAACTGCCCGCGCCAAGTTAAAATGCATACAAAGTCACCCCATATCCTATCTCAGGAGTCCTGAGCAAGACAAACTCCAAAATAACCCAGTGTCCAAGCTGGAATCTGGCTTGCCCATGTTATGATGATAAAAGGTCCTGGCAAAGTAAAGGCTCAGACCTAGATTTCCTGACTATAAGTCTTATAAATATTCTCTAACGTCCTCTGAGATAGTTTTGATTTTCTAGTTCAGTGGTTCTCAACCTGTGGGTCATGACTCTTTGGGAGTTGATTGATCCTTTCACAAGAGTTGCCTAAGACCATTAGAAAACACACATTTTTGCATTACAATTCATAACAAAGCAAAATTAAAGTCATGGAGTAGCAACCAAAATAATTTTATGGTTGCGGTTCACCACAACATGAAGAACTATATTGAAGGGTCGAAGCATTAAGAAGGTTGAGAACCACTACTTTAGTTGATTGTATAGTTCTGCTGGCTTTTCTTCTGAGAATCACTCTGTAGGAAGCTGCCGGGATCCTAGATCAGGTGCAACTGTGTCGGAATCACAGTTCTTGGCCCTTTTGTTGACAGAATGCATTGATGAATATGACTAGTCCCTAGCACAACTCCTGATTCTGATCAAAGATTTCTTATGGATTTGTTAGTGATCTGAGTGACTTCTTCTCAGAAGAAAAAGATAATCCTCATGTACCAGCCATTTATTGTGTGTTATCTCAAAGAATCATTCTGATAGTCCAGGAAAGATTGATCTCATCATCTTTAAATCATAAAATCTCTAGTTCTAGTTAACTGAATCTTCTGACATTGAAGCTTTTTATTAAGGCTTTGGACTGCCTCATTCTTTCATCTGACCCATCTCTTCGTCTAAGATCCAGCAAATGAGTGGTGAGGGGTTTAAGTTTAGACCTGAGCTGGCTGCCTCTACCACTGTCTAGGCTGGCAACAGTTACACTATCCATCCTCCCTGTCTCCCATGTTATAATAGGATGACAGCAGCAGCTGGTTGCAGAGAGCTGGTAAGATCGTATGTGTAAAATGGTTAAGAGAACGGTCGGGCAGACAAAAAGGAAACGAAAGAGTTTTTTTTTAATTGCAATTTGGCTACTATTTTAAATATAAACACAAAACCCAAGTGTTCCAAATTGTTAACTTAGATAAGGAAACAAAAGTTCTCTCTGAATGTGTTTTTGGCCTTTGGAGGAAACATCTTGCGTTAACTTCGCATCAGTAATGCCTTATGGTGTGTCAGTCATCTACAGCTATGTAACAAATGACTCCAACACTTCACAGCTGGGGACAACATTTACCACTGTGGCCTTTCCCTGGGTCGGGGACCAGGGGGCAGATTAGCTGATTTTTTTCAGCTCAAGATCTCCAGTGACACTTCAATCAAGATATTAGCCAGAGCTTCAGTTACTTCCCAGTGCAGGTAGAACAGCGGGGTGGGGGGGGTGGGGACAGGCCCCCATGTTCTCTTGTGTAGATCTGCTGCCCCGTAATGCGGCAGCTTCCTGCTAAAATAAGCATCCAAAAGGAAAAGAGCGAGGGCGCACCAGATGACAGCTCCTATTCTTACATTATTCTCAGAAGTGCCGTCCGATCGCTTCCACACTGGGTTATTAAATCCAGCTCCGTCTCCTGGGAAGGAGTACAGAAAGACAAATACCAAGGCCTCGGGATTCTTGGAGGCCTGCATGGTGGCTGTCTGCAGCAAACAGGCAAGCCAAAACGTTATGAAATCTAAGGAAACATCTGGCAGAAAGACATGGGTTATTTTGAAAAAACAAAATATATGTTTATGTATATAGTATGTTACATGTATTAGATCTTAGTAAAAAGCAGCCCCTGGAGAACTTCTTCCATCTGTATTTACTGAATAATGCTCCCACCCCACACCAGTTTCTATAGAGGTACAAGGATGAGTCAGGGTGGGGAGGTCTCCCCAGGAAGACTCCCTCCTTTGGTTCTTTCTCACTTAGGAAATTCCCTTCTTGGGGTTCAGAATGTAGGAAGAAGGAAAATGCCTCAATTGATAAGAAGTGGGCTCTGTCATATTCATGAAAGGAAAGTGGAAACATTCGCTGGGCATGCCTTGGAAGGGAGCATTGAAAATTCAAAACTATAAGCTCTGATAGGTTCAAATTTCAACTATAAGTTTCTGGATGATCACTTATTCCTCCTCTCATTTATCCAACAGATAGACCTTTGAGCTCTGTGTACAGTTCAGTTCTAGGTTTCCGGACACAGCCACAAACCTGACACAATTCCTATATTTGAGAAGCTTATATCCCTTTATCGATTACAAACAGGGGTAAGCAGGAATAGACCAGAAAAATACATAAGGGGAGACAATGCTGAGTATTACTGTTGGGGTGGAGGAGAAGAGTGTCATTTGGCATAGGGGAACACAGACGTCTCCATGAGTGTTTCTCCCCAACCCCTGCAGAAACCTAATTTAAGTGGTAAAGAGAAAATTCAAATATCCTAGTGCTTAGCATTTGGAGACCCTCAGGGACCCAGAGCAGCTAGAGAAGGCGAGAAAGAGAAGACTAAAAGGTAATGTCCAAGACCTTTCTGTGGGATCGGAGCAGTGGTGGCAATGGTAGCTACTAGGAACCCTGAGAGGGACTTAAGACAGTTGTGAATGAGCTGAACTAATTTACATTTCAGAAAATTCACAGCGGAAGTGTAGCTAGACTTGTGACAGCAGCACTGATGCCTTCACCTAAACACTGGCATTTTTAGGGCCTCCTCAGTAGCTACAGAAACTCATCATCCAAAAGTTCCAAAGGCTAAAATCCGAGGTCAGATTCCCTAGAGCAGAGCCATTCTCCCACTAAAGGAGCACAAGCAGAGCCTGCTCCGAGAAGCTCACATCTAGAGTTTCTTGGCTTGTTGCAGCACAAATCTAATTTGTACACCCCCTCTCTCTTTCTCTCTCTGTGTGTGAGAAAGAGAGAAAAGGAAGGAGAGAGAGAGTGTGTGAGAGAGAGACAAAGAAGGAAGGAGGGAAAGAGAGAGATCAAACCCCCACTTCTTTTTTTTTTTTTTTTTTTTTTTTTTTTTTTTTTTTTAGTCTGTCAACATATTTATTTCTACAGAGACAAAATAAGAGAGATTATATTTTGTAGAGACCCTTGCTACACCACTTGCCTAAACTCACTATGTAGATTAGGCTAGCCTCAAACTCACAGAGATATGCCTGCCTCTGCCTCTTTTTTTTTCCTTTTTTTAAATTTTTTGTTAATTACACTTTATTCATTTTGTATCCCCCCATAAGTCCCTCCCTCCTCCCCTCCCGATCCCACCCTCCCTCCCCTTTCTGCATGCATGCCACTCCCCAAGTCCACTGATAGGGGAGGTT